GAACATACCCCTACAGGTAATAAGGCAATAAAAAAAGGTATCAGTTGTATTTGGGAGATTAGTATAAAATAAGGGCTTTGTAAATTTTTTAGCACTAAATTTTCGTGTTACATTTATTTATTCTCATATTTCAGGAGTTTTTATTTTCAGTATATATTTGCATTATCATAATTAGTTTAATATCAACAAACTGCAAAAAAAAATTTAAATATTTAAAAACAAATTGATTTGTTATTTGATCACGAGATGGCGTCTCTAGAAAACATATATTTTTTGTCATTTACCATCTCACAGATTTAATGATTTATCGTCGCATCTTCAAGGACTCATTCAGTTGGCAATGATTCGTCCTTTTGTGTATGAAATCGTAATATGATCGTCGATGAGATGAGACACGCTCTGTTGATAAGATAATGGAAATCGTCGAGTCGAGATTAGCCAGAAAACCGTTTGTAACTATTTACATAAGTCTGGTCTCAAGAAGAAGTTGCATGTATGGAATAAAACGCTCAGAACTTTTTACTTCACCCAATATGTACTCATATATTTATTTATTTTTTCAATTATACAAATCCATGTCGTTTGCAGAATCTCATCGCGTTGTAATGCACAATATTGATTGAAACCGGACCAAATTTTCGTTCTTTTTTTCTGTGAATGTGTGCATATTATTTTGTTGTTGTTGTATGCAATCATTCTCTCCAGTTATTATGATTATTGTCCACTCGATTCGCTCGATGCAGCACGAGCATGAATGGATCGAGTGCAAATAGCATCATACACAGACAGCACTAATAAGCATTATAAATCAATCAATCGTCGTCGTCCGGCTTAACAATGGCAATAAAAGCGCGCGTTAAGTGCATAATCGATGATTGTGAAATCGACGAACAAACACAACGCCGGTACTTTCGCATCAGTGATCAGATCGACAATTTCACAGCGTATATTTTTTTTAATTGCAAATTTTCGAAATCATTCATTACACCACTTGTTATTTTAATATTTACAATTTTGTATATTTACCACAAAAAAAAACTGTGGAAATTTGTTTAATTGGATAAAAAGAAAAAAATAACTTTTCTTATAAACTTAACTAAGAAAATTTAGTGTATTTGCTTAGAAATCAACAAGTTTTCAGAATTGATTCTAACAAATCTAATCGAAGATTTCAAATAAATACGAAGATAAGAAAATTATTTTATTAATAACAAATTTTCTAATATAAAATCTAATGAATTTTTTTTTTTGTGGAATGTTTCTCTATTTTTTTTTTTCGTTTGTAACTAATATTTCGAAAGGTGGAAGGTCATATATTATATACAAAAAAAGGAAACGTTCTAAAAATCTCAAGAATTTTTATTGCTTGTTAGAAAGAGGAAAAAAAAATAACAAAGAATGTTTAATACTTACGCAATAAAAAGGGCGAATCTCTTGATTTTCCACTCAAAATGATCCACTTTTATCTTTGAAATATACTAAAAAATATATATTTCATTAATTGTAATATATTAGAGAAATTAGAGAAATGTACAATTAAATTAGTTGAAAAAAAAACATAATAAGTCGAAGAATATTGAATTTTTCCATATTTTTATAAGTTACATAATATTCGTTGCGTAACCGAGAAACGACATTTTTTGATGTCTTTAGTTATCAGTAAATTACATCACCTTATAGTCAAATTAAAGCTGAAAGTCTTATCTTTCCAACAAGCGCTCTTATAGTTTTCTCATGTTATTCAGTTTGTCTGCTATGAGCTGATTTCAATTGGATTTCTATGAATTCCTATTGTTTTTTTTTTTAAATTATGTTCTTAGAATTTCTTTAGAAAAGTTTACTTAACATTAATATTAAGAAACATGTTTTTTTTATTAAGATTATTTATTTTTGTTTGTTGCGTGATATTTTGCGATAATCGTATAATTATTTTATGTTTGTGCAAACTCCGATTAAAATGATTGATATGGAAAAATGAAAAAAAAAAATCATTTAGGATTTGTATAAAAATCAAAATATTTTATGTACTTTACAAAACTTAAGTTATTTTCGTCAGGGGCGCCTAATAGCCGAATGGTTAAGTCGCCCCATCAATTGCAATACAAAGAATATTTAGAAAAAAAAACAACCAAAACATAATAATTAATTATTTCAGGAATTTTTCATATTTTCTTTTATTCCAAATTCCAAAATTTGTAACTAAAATTATATTGCATAGACCGTATTACGATATAGAAAATCCTGAATTTGATGGAGACACATACAGACTTTGTAGGACACATACAGGACGATTTAGCATTCTCTCCAGTTAAAAAACTGCAAAAAATAAAACATTAAAGTGTGCTGATTTCTATGATTTTTTTATGATTTTCTCAGAATTTCGTTAGGAAGTTTACGTAAACTTTTCTAACGATTTTCTAAGAAGATCATAAAACAAAACAATTGGAATTAATAGAAATCAACACACTCAATT